TTTTTCACAAAATTAATATATTTGGCTAGATCAATGACTGTCTGCGTCTTATTCAATGACATCCATTCGAAAAATGCCCCTAATTCCAATTGCATGAGAGCTTCATAACACAGCGTTAAACCTCGAATCGCTCTATGGAATTGTTTTCCTTCTAACATGTGTTCTACAGTATTTCTTGCATATACTCCAGATTCTGATAACATGTCTTGTGATCCACTATCTCCCTAAATTTTATTTATGCAAGAAATATATGTACATAGAAGATGAAAACCTCCTAGACGAATTATACAAGACTGTAATTCATTTCCTGCACTGATTTTAACTGCTTGAGCAATTGCATAAAATTGTTGGTCGAAAGTATGTATGTGATAATCTTGGCCACATTCTTTAGCCAATTCTTTACCTTTTATTAAAGTTGTATACACTGTACTTGGGTCGCTTGGTTTAGCATCTATAGCAGGCAAATATTGGACAGTCGTATAATTATTATCAATTTTAGTGGCGCATCTCGTATTGAATGCAGTCTAATTAGGTATAGTTTGATGACTTGAAGAAATGTCTGGTCTTGCATTAAATGTAGTATTTCAAGAAAGAGTGCGTAATAAAACCCATGTTACATCCGAACAAAAAATTGGATTTTGCGCGGAAACTTTTAATTTCGACTGTAAGAATGACAAGGCATTTTCAAATTTAGTTGGCACTGGTCTCTGAGTTGGTTGTGTAAAAGTTGTCGTTTGAAATAGTTCATTGTTGTTCACAAAAGTTTTACCCGAAGATTTTTTTTCAATTTTATCAAAATCGATTTCACGATGCAATGATTGGTTTTGGAAAATTACTCGCCCCATGATATGATAAGAATTTTTTCCATCTATTGTTTCGGTATTCACATCGATATTATCATCGCCTTCTTGTATCATTAGACCACCATGAATTCTTGAAATTATTCCTGAAAATACATATACTTTAGAACTCTTCTCAATTTCACTTTCAGCGATTGCGGTTAATATACGTCGAAGTTCATACGTAATACGCCAATAATCGAATTTAAATTTTCATATAACATAAATCTGAATAGATGGAACCCTTCCTCTACATGCTAAGGGCCACGATAGTCCCCACGTCATCGAGCTCGAGAGCAAAGACTCTCCTGGCGTCGAGCGCCACGATCGTCCTCATATCATCGAACTCGAGAGCAAAGACTCTCCTGGCGTCGATCGACAAGATCGTCCTCGCGTTGTCGGGAGACGAAGTACAAAATGATTCACGCTGGAGGGAGGCATGAGAAGTAATTGATTATGTTTAGTTTTTAACGTATTTGGGATTTAACAATTTATTTGTATTATTCATGATGGTGAATACATAAACATAGTAAATTAAAAAGTATACACTTCTAACAAATGACATGAAATTGATAAATCTTAATCTCGTCTTTGATTAATTATCATCCCTGCCTCTTCGTGTTTTCAAAAATTGCTGGAAGTGTCCTCCTTCTTCCTCAAGAAATAATGTTAGTCTGCGTTTTATTGTTGCAGTACCTTTCCGTATCGATTCGCGTGGGTATTGTCTACACTCTTCTTCAATAAATTCAATGAGTTATGTAACATCGGTTGGCAGCTAGTATAAAAATTGTTAGTTTTATAATTTCATTCAGTTAATCTCAATCATTCTTTCTTTGGTCACAAACACACACACAGATGTCGTTCGCGTTCGCGTTGCTTACTCTCTCTTGTTACTGTAATCTCCATTCGCTCTACGCTCGTCGTCACGACTGTATGTGCCCGGCATTTTTCAATAAAGACTGTTAGTGTTTAAGATTGGTGTGTTTTTTATTTTACCCATTCTACAGGTTATGGGCCCAGTTACATGCGAAACATAACCGAATGTGTAAAATTTGCCAATCAAGTGAACCAAGTGTAATTTAAAAGTGTGAAACACGAAGGCGTCGAAAAGTGAGGTTAACACCGTACGCGCAACATTGACCAGGACTCAAGATGTCCGAAAGTCAATCTACAACGCACACTCCGCGCTTCCAACTGCTTACACGCGAAAATTACGATACTTGGAGGATTCAAGTAGAAGCATTGCTCATCAAAAACGATAGCTGGGACTACGTCTCGGGCGACACACCGGCACCAGAAATAGTGACAGGAAATGGAGCGGCCGCGAGCGAAACAGCATACAAGGCCTGGCTAACAAAGGATCGGAAAGCCAAATCCGACCTTATTCTTTCCATCTCTCCATCTGAATTGAAGAAGATACAAAATTGTGCCTCATCGCGCGACGTGTGGAAAAAACTCGAGTCCACCTACGCATCCAAGACGCCAGCTCGAAAAGCCGCTTTATATAAGCAGCTCACCCAACACAAGATGGCCGAAAGCGATAGCATGGTCGAGCACCTCAAGAGCTTCTTCGACGATTCTGATAAATTAAAGTTGACTGGAGCCAACCTTGACGACGATCTATTAGCAATCATGCTGCTGCAAAGCCTACCAAATAGTTTCGAAAATTTCAGATGCGCGATTGAGTCACGTGATAAGCTACCCGAGCTCGAGATTCTTAAAATCAAGATACTCAAAGAGTATAGATCTCGCCACAGAGAATACGAAGATCATCATAACTCGGCCATGTTTTCACATACGCGACCCAACCCCAATCGCTCATCAAGCAGCTCTTCCACGAAATCCTCGCAAGGTAACTCTGCAACGCATTAACAAAAGCCAACCTACAAATGCGGCTACTGCAAAAAGAAAGGACACAAAGAGGCTGATTGCTTCAAAAAGAAGAAACAAGAGTCAAAAGGCGATAGCTCCAACCTTTGCTTCTTTACCGGCGCAGCAGTGAACACGAGATGGTGCTTGGATAACGGCAGCACCTCACACGTATGCAGCGACAAGGACCGTTTTCAGAACACATCTCGAACTACGGGCCGCCTGCAACTTGCCAGTGACGCCACAGCAGACATCTGCGCCAAGGGCGACGTAAGCATCAAAACGAGTGAGAGCTGTCAAACCATAACCCTAAAGGACACACTATACGTGCCTGATCTCCGCACAAATTTAGTCTCGGTTGCTAAAACCGTAGATGCTGGTTTTAAAGTTACCTTCGACAAAGATTGTGCCGTAGTTCTCGACCACGATGGCGAAATCCAAGCTCAGGCCGATCGAATAGGCGATCTATACTTTTTCAATGACGCAGAAGTGTCACACGGCATCGCGGCATTTTCAAAAACCAAAGTATCGATGAACGAGTGGCACGCACGTCTCGGTCATTTGAACTCCAAGGATTTAAAAACGATGTTCGCGAAGAAACACGCCGAAGGCGTTGACGACGTCCAAGTCGTCCACTCCGACGTATGCAGCCCGATGAGGACCTCGAAAGGAGGCGCTTGATGGTTCGTCACTTTCATCGACGAGCACACGCGCTTCTGTGCCGTCTACTTCATGAGAGAAAAATCCCAAGTTACCGATAAATTCATCGAGTTTAAAAACTTTGTTGAGAATCAAACCGGGCACACCATCAAGGAGCTTCAGTCCGACAGTGGCAAAGAGTACAACAACAACAGGCAAAACAAGCTGCTAAAAGATGCTGGCATAAAACGCCGCTTTACCGATCCACATACGCCGCAGCAAAATGGGCTTGCCGAGCAAAAGAACCGCACCCTCGTGGAAACTGCTCGTTGCCTGCTCTTACAATCCGGCTTACCTGCAAGCTTTTGGGCTGAGGCCATTCACACGGCTAACTACATACGCAACAGATGTTACTCCCAAACTGTCGGCTGTACTCCATTTGAAAAATGGACGGGACGCAAACCTAGTATCTCACATATGAGATCATTCGGAGAGAAAGTTCACGTCTTAAATAAGAGCCCGACTAAAGGAAAATTTGATCGTCGTGGACTCGAGGGAATCTTTCTTGGATATTCAGATGATTCCAAAGCTTTTCGAGTATGGCTAACCGAAACGAAGAAAATTGTCACTTCAAGAGACGTAAAATTTTCAGGCACATCTGGAAATCCCTCTCCGTCATCTGATATATCGACAGGAGGAGAAAATCAGATCACTGCTACCAAGGAGAACACCGTTGATCTGCTCACTGAAGTAAAAGTTGCCACTCCTGAAGTAAACGAGACAGCCAACGAAGATCCCGACGACGCCGCTCAGGACGTCGACATTCATGAAGTGCCAGATTCGAGCCTGAACGAGGAGCCTGACTTCTATGGATTCCCCTCGAGTAACGGAGACACAAACGAATTCGAAAAATTCGATTTTACGTTACCAAGTTCAAGCCAGAGCGACGAAGTCTCACCCAACGACCGCATCACATATCGTCGCAGAAAGGACGAAGATACTGCCAAGAGCGCCATGAGTGCTCGCAAGGTGGACTTTGGAGAGGCACTGCGAGGGACAGACAAGGCCGCCTGGTTTAGAGCCATTCAAGAGGAAATGAAATGCCTCATAGATAACGATACCTGGACCGTTGTGAAGAAACCTAGCAACGCAAGACTCATAGGTTGTAGGACAGTTCTACGCAACAAGCTAAATCCAGACGGCTCACTTTGCCGCCGCACGGCTCGCCTAGTCGCCCAGGGATTCTCTCAAATTCCTGGTGTTGATTTTCTCGAAACCTTTGCGCCTGTAGCCCGATTGGACTCGCTTCACATCCTCTCGGCCATCGCAGCAAAACATGATTTAAAGCTTTTCCAATCAGACGTCGTCACTGCCTATCTCCACGGTGAGCTTGATACCGAGCTTTCCATGCAACCTCCAAAGATGCTCGCCGAGATCCTGGAGTCAATAGCAACTTCAAGGTGCAGATTTGTATGAATTTGCAAAATTTACAAGGATTTTCTTGTCGATTACTTATGCTGTATAGCTCGCTGCGCGCGACTATCTACAAAAAAATTGCATTCATGTGACCCATTTTTAGTAAGTTGATAAGTTTGAATTATCAGGTAAAATGATTTCGTGCAAGTTTGACGTATAAAGATCGTATCATTTTTGATTGTTTGGAAAATGCAAAAATTTATTTCTAAATCACGCAATAAAGTGAAAATAAGTATGAAATACATCTAGTTATAAATGCAAAAGAATTATTTTCTAAGTTTTTTATATGCTAAAGGATTAACATAAGATGATATAATTTGTTTCATTAGATCATAAATTAATTGTTTCTTTGTAAGTCGCTTTTTGGAATTCTTCATATATAATGTCTGTAACTTATTTTCGATTAATATTTCAACAGCCATTGCTATTTGATTTTACAATTTTCGGTAAAGGTCGCACTAAATAGAGTTTTTCGCCTTGTTTGTTGGTGTAAATAGGAGCTCGTTGATAATGATCGACAAGTTGATCAAGAGTATGGAACTTCCTCTGGCCAATACAGTAAAGGGCACCTTCCACGTGAACCCTAAAATGCTTATTACGACCTGGAGCTTTCAGAGAAACGGAATAGTCTCCCATCTGAAACAAATATTATCAATTTATCAGAAATAAACTTTTTCTTTCTATGCATTTATAATTGTTTTAGTTTATTATAAAACTCGAAACCTATTTTTATACACGATCGGGTAAATAAAACATTAAAATTCAATAGTATTTTCACATTTATAACTGTACTCTTTCTTTATTGATGGTAAAATATTTAGGTAAATTAATTGTACATAGCTAAGGAATTTTCTTTGTTCATTCGTTTTATTTCAGTTATATAGCAATGAAACTTTTAAAAAATTATAAGTGTATCTAAACGAGTTAATTTGCATATTTTCTTATCCTTACGTAAAAACGATTTTTTTTTATTAATTATTCTAAAAAAATTTATGAAATGCTCCGTGGAAACTTGATGGAGTTAATTGTCATTCGTCCTATCTGAAAAACATTTGATGATTACAGATGATCATCTCTAAAATCTTCTTTGCAACGTACTGCATTCGTAGTGATCGATAGTTTGATTCGTAGTGTGTTGTGTTCGTTGTAATCTTTCAGGCACAACAGGAAAGAATGTGACTAGTGTTTATCGCACCAGTGTTATCGAGCTAGGACGTGCTGTTCTCGGGACCTTTAGACATGACATAAATCTTAAATTCCGCCTGCCGCATATGAGGGTTTACCTCGTCACTAAAAAATCGATGGTAATGGCGTTTACCATAAGTACCATAGGCCAAAGGTGTATAAGCAACATCGAGATAGAAGAATTTATACAAAAAATGCATACAACAAAAACGTCTTAAAATTATTCAAAGAATCCAAAAAAAAAAACATTTTCAGAATTTTTTGAGGGAATTTTTGAATTTCGAATGTGAGGTTCCTGGCTAGCTCGCGATCATATCGACAGTCCCTACGAAGAGTAACACGTTTCTGTGTTAATTTAAATGGAAACGTGTTACTCTTCGTGGGGACCGTCGATATGGACTTTTAAAAGGGTCGTAGCTACCGGTTCTTTCATTTTTTGGTTCAAGAAAACTAAAAAAAGTTCAAGAGAGAACAAAGGTAGGATTGACGATAAATATCCTTGTGCGCTGGTGTACGTCATTGTGTTCCCTAGACTAAGACTGGAAAAAAACTTCTGAGTCATTTTTTTTTGTTGAATTCTCTTACTGGAGTTTAATTCAACTTTTCAAGATTTTTGATTCTCATAAACTTTAATTTTTTAGATTTTTTCAAGATATTATTTTTCATAATTCTTTTTAAATTTTTCAAGATTTTTCTTCTTTCATATTTTGATGTTTTTAAATAATTAAATTTAAAAAAATTTTACTTCTAATGGTTGTCTATAGACAGCAAATTTTTTTCAGATTTTCTTTTTCCAATTTCTTAGTTTGTCTTTTTAATTAAATTTTAGAATAATCATTAATGAAATTTTTCATACATACTTTTCGGTTGGTTACAAAATTCTGCAGTAAGTGTCACGGCCACATTAGTAGGCTCGACATACACTATCTTACTTTGCAAATAAATTTGATTTAATTCAATATTTACAAGTCAATTTTTATATATACTTTTCAAATTAATGAAAATTACGGTGGTGATTGACGAGGTTGCATCAACGACAATATACGTCTACGAAAGATATGAAAATTTGAAATTCCGAAAATTCTCATCTTGCATTGAGTCTTGATTTTAATACCAACTAGCTGGACTTTTTCCATTATTTTTATGAATTCTATGAATTTCATAATTCATCCTTTCCATTGGCATACTTAAAAAAATTAACACACAATGATGTGTTTTTTTACACTATAACCCTATAAATCAACACCTAAGGATACTAGGTTCCTTTATGCCTAGCTTGATATAGACTTGATTAGTGTTAAATAATCATTTTTTTAATAATGTAATAAGTTAAAAAATCAACACACAAGGCTAAAATTTGTTTAAACAAGAATATGTACCTAAAAATAGATCACCACGCTAATGCGGCATAATATTCCGTTCATGTATTTATTATCGATGTAACTTTCAATCTTTTTAAGGGCATAACATAGACATAAGAAGTATAGACAGCGGGCGAGCATGCAACGAAGTGAGGCTTGTTTAGAGAGAGAAAGAAGATCTAAGGTGATCGTCTGTCTCTTTCTAAGGGGCGGAGTAAAACTCGCGCTTGCGCGGTAAGCGACACCCGTGAACGCGCATGCAAACCAAAGCCTAGGGTCACAACTTATATACAACTAACATACGCTCTATTCTGCAACGTGCGCGTGGCTGTGTGGTCAACGCGCTCTCTTTATGTTCTCGAGATCGAGGGTTCGAGACCGATGAAACGAAAAATTTTTTTATTTTTTCACGTCAATATGGGCATTTTTTTCGAGGTGTGATTTTGAAAAAATTTTTTTCTTCAAATATATTAGTTTATTTTTGTTTATTTTTACACGTTTTTTTATTAGAATTTATGAATAAAAATAAAAACAGTAACATTTCCATCAGGAAGCCTTTTGGCAATACTATTCCACTTAATAGAATTTAAACAAAAGCTCTACCTGAAAATGAATAAGAAATAAAATTAATGGATTTATCTTAATTAGTTATAGATAATAAAAAAGAATATGGAAGTATTATTTACTTTTGCGTATAAATTTATATGTTAAACGTTGAGAATTAACTGACGTCATATATATTCGAACTGCAAGAACTACTGGTTACTGAACACAATGATGCGCTGCAGTTTCGTTCTTACGCGAGACTTAAACTCTGATATTTTGGCAGCTTCGTGGTGGAGTCGAATCAAGTAATACTGCTTAAGTACCATCCGAATCAATTGATTTCTATGATCAAATAACGGCGCTTGATCGAATACATGTTCATTTTTTGTGAATAATGCATTCACAGGAAGCATTTTGATCGCCGTTATTATCATTTTATCAACGATTCGAGGTTGTACGAGCGAGTTTTGAGCTTTTAAAATTTTTTCGGCCGTTTGACATATAAAAATAACATCTTGCGAGGCTGATGTCAATGCTCCATAAGTTTTTCGCACTTGCAGTGATGAAAGCGGATGTTCTTTTGCGTTCGCAGTTAGATCATCAATACATGCCGAACACTTGATTTTGTTTTTAATAGATTTGACGACAGCTCCGCTAACATAAGCAATAACTTCATCAATGTACATACTCAATGGAAGCATATCGCACAAGATCGATGCATCGGCGAAGTCTTCACTGCTCTCCTCATTCTCATTCACGACATCCTAGAAGAAATAAATTCTAAGTGTGAAAATAGTTCGAATTGATAACTATTTTAAAACATATGAGCCATTTCACGTCAAGTCTTCAATGACTTGCCCACGCAATGACTTGCCCACGCGGCATTGAAGACTTGACGTGAAATGGCTCATATACGTACACAATTTTGGTCGTCCTTATCTGTCTTGTTCATGAGCATGATGGTATCGTCCTTTGGCGTGCAGTTTGCAGTGAGCGGTACTTTAATGCTTACGTGCGAAATTAATTTACGGTAAGCACTTTTAAACTGCATAGCCGTGGGGTTGTTGTTAAAGCCACCTGTCTTGCGAATACAAGCAAAAAACATCTCCAGGTGATCTTGCGAGAGCTTGTAAGTGAGCAGAAAATCAAGGTGGCCTTCCGCAAACATTTCTTCCGCCATTTGCAGAGCATTTTTCATTGAAATAATCAATCCTAAAAACCCTGTTCGCTTTTTAGTTTTTAGGATTGATCGGCCATCGATCTGAAGATTTTCGAAGTACCTTGTGTATATCTGCACTTTCATTTTCATTTCTTTAATATTTTGTGTAGAAATCGATGATTTGCTTGGACATTTATTAAATTGATTGCGAGAATTTAATAAATCGAAGCAATCATCGATTATTCTACAAAATCTCGCGGTGGCACTGGCGTTTTCGAATTGGTCGAGTTCCAAATCAAATTCGCACGTTTCCAACGCTGCTGCTACACTTCTGCTCAAGACTTGTGCTGCCAGGCATACTTTCATTTTTTCATTGAAAGGCTCGACATGCCGACGCTTGATCTTCGTAGCCAGATGCAATCCTTCCTTGTCCTGCAGATCTACTAGCTTCCGAATGTAGTCCCATGATATGATCTTCCCTTCACCGTCAATGATGTCTCGTGAAAGAAGAGCATTACGGACAAGTTTGAGCATGTGGCAAGCATCGAGCGAAACGTAAATGCGCCTTTCGAGAATCGAACTATGAAAATACGAAATAGACGTATTACCGTAGATCGATGCTCCAAGCTTTTCGACCATATTGATATTAGATGAGGCGCCATCGAAAGTAATGTTTCGCACGTCTATCTCGTGTACGCAGCACTCATCTAATATCTCCAAGATTAATGAGCTCTTCTGATCGCCGCTCAAAGAGTTTATCAAGTAGTATGCGACTGGGATCTTGAAGTACCCATTGATACATACTAGCATAAAAACAAGAGCATTGGAAGCTTGCTCTTCATTATCTTGGCAATCAGTTGGTCGGCCAAAATCTACGAAGCCCTCAAATTTCTCCTTCGATTTATTCCAACTGACGTGTCTTCGAATCGACATCTCATCGAGGCATAAATTGAAATACAATTTTTTACCATTGACGAGAGCATTTTTCGAGAAATCTTCGACAGTTTGGAATGATTCGCGAGAAATTCCGGGTTCGTAGTTAACCGTCTGCAACCATGTACGAAGCATAGACGGATGTGGCAGTAATTTGCTGAAAGAGGAGCGCACGTATTCGTATCCTTTTGGAGAATAAAAGTGCAACGTCAATGCAAAATTTTTCAGCGCTTCCGGATACGAAGTATACTTTTTACCCTTCAGGACAGATTCAATCAACGATCGTACACCCGGCTCTAGCGACTTCTGGAAATTACATAAATATTACGGAAGTTATTATTAATTATCTAGCACAGAACCAAGTATCGAAGAATTTTTTAACAACGTTGATTGAATTTTCTTCTGCCTCGGTTAAAAAGTGTTTCTCTTTCAGCTCTCCAAGTAGATCTTTA